AAACATGTTTCTTTGAGGTATAAAGGGCCTTTTAAAACTACTGGTCCTCAAGTCACAACATGGAAGACTAGGGTGGCTTAGAAATGGTTAATGAAATAATAAATATAGCTCGTCAGGGTGCAAACAAAGACTATTAAAAATGACCAGACTACAGCGGGAAGGCCGGGGAGGTTTGAGGGGGGAGGGTAAGAGATCAACCGAAGGACTTGTATGCATGCATATAAGCATAACCAATGGACACAAGACATGGGGGGGGGGGGGTTAGGGGAGGCCGGGGGAAGGTCAAGGGGAAAAAAAGGAGACATATGTAATACTCTTTGTAATACTTTAAGCAATAAAAAAAAATAAAAAAAAAGATCAGAACGCACAAAGAGGAGGGATCTGGAAATATGCTATTTGATGGGAAAAACTAAAAGATTTCAATGAGAAAAGACTTTCTTAAGTGAATTTACAAGAACTTTCAGCCTAAAAGTCTCTTTCTAAACTAAATTCTAGGACATCTAAAATCTTATCATAATTTCAAAGGGTATTTTGATGGAGGTATTTTGCAGAAGGTATTTTCATTATATCCAGGATACTTCCAGGATTTCTGCACTTTATGTAATAGAAAACAGACTGTCAAACTACAGCAGGAAGGCCAGGGAGGGTTGGGTGGTGGGGTAAGAGATCAACCGAAGAACTTGTATGGATGCATATAAGCATAACCAATGGACACAAGACACTGGGGGGTAGGGGAGGCCAGGGGAAGCTTAAGGGGGGAAAAAAAGGAGACATATGTAATACTCTTTGTAATACTTTAAGCAATAAAACAAAATTTAAAAAAAAGAAAACAGGCAAGAAAAGAGCTATAGAAGTAAAAAATACAGTCCCAGAAGCTTGATTTGACCATGGAAGAAAAGCTCCCTTCTTTGGAGTTTGAGTTTTGAGCTGGAGCAGACAGAATGGCCAAAGCCTCTCATTATTTAGATACCATGTAGGTGTGATCAGGAGCATTTTCTACTAATAGAGATCAGGATTTTGACATTGGATAGATTAATGCACTTAATGAATATAGTTTACATAAATTAATCAATGTTATCATTAGTATTATTTAATCACTTAGTTTGTGATGAGTAAATAGAGTGCATAATTTTCTTTTCTTTTTAAAAAAATTTTAAATATATTTTTATTTATTTCAGAGAGGATGGGAGAGGGAGAGATAGAAACATCATTGTTGAGAGAGAATCATTGACCGGCTGCCTCCTGCAAAACCCACACTGGGGATGGAGCCCAAATCCTGCAAACTGGGCATGTGCCCTGACTGGGAATCGAACCATGACCTCCTGGTTCATAGGTCAATGCTCAACCACTGAGCCATGCTGGCTGGACAAGAGTGCATAATTTTCAAAAGCCAACACTTAGGAATTCTATCTTACTCATTGACAATCTAAAGCATAAAATCAGGTGTGAACACAAATTGCAAATATTCACCAGGTTTCATGAATTCTGCCAGCTGAATCCCTCATCCTATCCTTCCAAGAGAACCCTGGTTAACAATAAACTTTCTGGTTGGTATGAAGGGTGTTCAATTCCTCACTAGCTGTATTCCTCTTGACAATCACACTATGCTTTACTCAATTTTTCCTGTCACGGAACTCTCAACCCTCACTTAATTAGGATTTCTCCCTCTCCCTCTCCTCCTTCCCAGCTTTTGTCCACTTATAATTTGTCCATGTCAATTTATAGAAAATGTCCCATTTCTATTAATTTCTTTTTGCCTTTTGTATAAGACACCATAGAAGGGTTCTCTTGGGGATCCTGATCCATTGAGAACACACATAATTAGGTCCCAGGTGATTCACTTGCAGGCATTGAAAGTAATACTACAGAATAGTTTCAATGTTCCACAGTGAAGAGAATTGCCTTGGTGCTAAAGTTGCCTGAAAAACTGTACTTATAAGGAATAGATTATTTGCTGATTTTGCCAAATTCACAAAGTGCTACTGTCCTTAAAATAATGATTGAAAGAGCATTTATTAGGGTTTCTTGGCCTCCTCGGACAAGTATATCTCATGCATTTCTGTACTTATTTTATGCTTTTTTCCTAATGGAGAGTCTTTGCTGAATGAATAAGACATAGCTGATACCAAGAGCAGTACATTTTGGGGTATTTCATGTTGTACTTGAAGAAACTGAGGCATAGAGAAGTCAAAAGCAGATGATGTGATTTCCTGGTGCTCAGAACAGATCTTTGGCAAATATCTATGCATGTCACATATCTATGATCATGTGCTTATCACCCACTCCACCTTGAACATCATATATAAAATAGAGGTGTATTTTTAAATATATGTACCAAATTTTAATTTTCATTTCACACCCAAAACTTCTGTACAAAAAGAGGCAAAGCAGGCAAAAAATCACAATGATAGCAAAGAAGATATGAAAACTTTAAAACAGCTTTGTGTGTGCACCAGCTTTCATAGATGTAGTGGGGAAATTGAGCTTCACAGGGTTTGTTTCTTTAAGATAAATTTTCAACATTTCTTATGAATATCTAGAAAGCTCACAGCTGTCTAGGATACACAATTGAATGAGAAGTCTCTGAATTCTACTGGACGCTTGGATTCCCAAATTGAGAAGGTTTTATTTTTCTTTTGAGGAAGCATGAAATTATTTTTACTTCAATGTGATGATGTATCAAAAACTTCCATTTGCCATTAATATCTTGGTATAATGGTAATGACTAGGAGTGAACTTTGAGGAAGCATGATATTAACTGGTAGTTAAAAGATAGTATCCAAGACTTTCTTTCTGGTTGTTAATTAATATGCCAGTCTGAATGGGTCACCACAATTCAAACATTTATTGCCACTTGTTTTGCGTTTTAAAAACTACCAATTCCTTGTGGTCCATGAAAGGTTTCTGAGAACAAAGTTATAATGCCAAAATAGCAGTGGTTCTGAGAAATGTAATTTTCCTTTTGTTGCTTGCCCCCCAAATAAATATGGGAGTAACAGAAAACACTGTTTATTTGAAAACTATGAGACAACAGATATGAAATATAGTTAACATTGACATGAAGACTGTTGCTAGCACTTTCCCTAAACCCCCCATAGGTCTTGGACGCATGTGCATGCAGCATAGAAACCATGATTGTTCAAGGACTCCTGATGCCTGGAGGACAGACGGTTAAAAGAACTTGTCTCCCACAATAGCTCTGGAGTGGGCCCAAGGTCCACCACCTGCCCGTGATCACAGACATTCAGTTAACCTGCCCTCCTGACACTCAGAGGCAACCTATCAGACCCTGGGCTTTGGAGAACCCACATCCTGGCGAATGAATTTTGGCTTTGAGACAAGACCACCTGGCTAACCTGGGGCAGGCCAGCAGCCCCTCCCATGTATTTGGTCCCTTTTGATAGAAAGTCTAATTAAAAAATGATACCCGTGCTCAACTATTTGCTCTGCAAGTCCATTCCTCTTTCCAAGACTGACTCTCCTTTCCGGATAAAGGAGGAAAACAGACCCGGTGATGATGAACATTCAATGCCTCTATGTGTCCAGTCTTGACAGTTGTTGCCCAAGGATACCATGTGGCTGCCAAACAGAACTTTTCTTAAGCTGAATATTGAATGAATGTGTTCACCCATCGTCACCCCATTTTCTGGCTTCCTCTGGGACATTAGAACCTGAAGCTTGAAAAGTTCCTCAAGGCCAACTAGTGCGATTCTATTCTGGTGGGAGAAGAGCCACCCACACCGCTGTACTGGTTCAGCTTGGAAAGCTTTACGGAAAAGGGTCTTTCCTCTCTCTGTTGACTGACATTTAGATACAGACCACAGAACCTGTCCTGCCACGGCTGGATTTCTTTGACAAAAATAAAACAAAACACATGTATACCTCCCCTTTTCTTGGAGGACTCAAGGGAATGCCAGCTGGCCAAAAAATCTGGAAAGCAGTGGTGTGACAGCTCCTTTCTTGGGACATTGTGAATGGCGCCAAGCCCTAAGGTACCCAGACCCAACTTCTGGAATGATCATCCACTTGGTAACTTCCTGTCATCATCTAGGCCAGACTGAGGATTTATTTTAAAGTATCCAGTCTCATCCCATAGTAGTATATGTAGGCCACATGGTGAAAAGGAAAATGCATGGAGTCGGGAGTGAGGCATCCTGGGTTCTAGTCCTTCATTGGGGCAGTAGGGTCCTGACTGACTTCACCCTCTGTTCTTTTTCTCCAATCGAGATTAGATTTCCTGGATTTCGTTCCAAGCTATGATCTTCAGGCAGAATGACTCTAGGCCAGTGGTTCCCAACGTGGGGCACATGCAATTTGATTTTTAAGGGGGGGGGGCGCAATTCGAGAATGAGATATTAACAGTGAATTTTTTGCATTTCTTATGGTTCTAGGGGCCTCATATACAGTATATAAATATATATTGTGACATAGTTATGCATTTCAGTTCTCTATTATTTGTTTTGAAACTTTATTTGCTTTTTTTTCACATCATTTCATATTTTTTAAACAATTTCTTAGTGATTTCCTCCTCAGTACTTCAACTGCCCTTTCATTCTTTTATTTTTCTCTTTCATGGATGCCATGTTCTTTGGAAGCTTGTTTAGACCAAGTTAATGGCCTTTTAGGCATCCTCCATGTGAAGAGGAGTTCACTTTTTGAATAAGAATTATATGTCACATAGGAGCATCAAGATTTTAGAGAAGCTTAGGTGGGGCCTGGCCAAAAAAAGGTTGGGAACCACTGCTCTAGGCCTTGTCATACCATCAATCATCAGGATCAGGTGGGGTGATGCTTAGTGGGCTCCACTTACTGAGGAAGAATGTGGGCGCCAGTCATTTTAATGAGGGGCAGCCTTCGACTCTAAGGTAGCCTTAGGCAGAGAGGGCTCCTGGAGATTGTCGGTTTTCAATGTCCATTTCAGAGAGGAGAAGGGTGAGACACAGCTGAAGTGAGTTTCCCAAGATCACACTGTGAATAAACAGGGCTAGAACAACTGCAGGAACTCTGACCAGGCTTTACTCAAGGCAACAAACTGGCAATGGGGTCTGGGAGAAGCTGTGTTTTAAAGACAAGGCAACCAGAAAACATAGATCTTTCCCCCTCCAAATGCCCCCAGTTTTCTGATAACGAATGAAGTGCCCCAGAACTCTATTGTCACAGGAATGGTCCACAGAGAACAAGGCTCCTATGTGGAGGGGCTGAGCGCCCCGCACTATGCAAATAACTGCAATGTCAGCAAACTTACCCACAATTTCAAAGCCAGAGCTCCACATCCTTGTCCCTGTGACAGCGGGTTGAAGATCTGTCCTGTTGTCTGGGTGTTCTTCCTCCTAACAGGTCCCCAACTTCCAAGACAACCACTTTCGACAGCCCACCTACGACAGCACACCTATCTATCCTGGCTTCTCTCCCGCGAACTGACTCAAACACAGGTGATTTTCCTCTTGCAAACTGAAAGGGGACTTCAGGGGGGCATCCATCCAGCAGGAAGGGGAAATGCTGATGATAAAACACGTGCACACAGAACGGCTGCACGTGTGGTCTGCAGTCTCGGGAAAGAGAGGGGGCGTGCCGAATCCCAAACACCTGGGCTGGAACCTCCACGTGCATTTTTCTTTTTTCTGGATTCCTCTTTCTCTCTCTCTGCCAGGATACCAGTTGTGTTTCTTGTAGCTGAGCCGATACAGGAAATCAAATACTTTGTGTTTCTATCACTATACTTCCCAGAGAGATTACACATCTAGAATTTAAACACTACCACAAACGATCAGCAATTTCTGATTGTTACAGGTGTAGTTAAAGGACTCCAGTGGCAAAGTTCAACATCTCCAACTTTTGCCTTTGGAGGAGGGGGTTTTGTTTTAGACATTAAAGGTAAGGCTCTCAAGTCAACTTATGCGCTGCTGGGTTGAGTCAGTCAGGATACAAATTAAGGTCCATATATTGCAGTGACAAGAAGGAAACGGTTATGTAAATACACAAGTATTAACATCAATCTGTATTAAATTATGTAAACATATACATCTTCTGAGGTCAGTACATAGATCCTCTTCTTGGAGCAGAGCTTTACTGAAGCATTGCTCGAATCTGTTTGGAAGTCGACTCATCGTTCAAGTGCTTTGTAGTGAACCTGGATGGAGAGAGAATGATGGCATTCACTGTGCAAATAGTGCTCTGTGAAAGCTCCAATAATGACTCACCAGCCCATCTTTGTCTTGGGAGACATAAATGATATTTATAAATCAAGCTTAGGCTTGGTTCTTTAGACAGAGAGCCACATCCCAATGCCCGGAGTATTCTCATATGGATTGAATATTTGATTCTTCCTTCCAGAGGAATTGTGTATTACGATTATTAAACGAATAGATCAAATACTCAAATAATTACGGAGGAGATATTAAGCAGTCTCATTTACAGGGAAGTAGACTTCTCATGACTGAGTGTAGGATCTCGGCCATCTAGGCCACCCCTGCTAAGTCACGAATTTGAAAATATGGATTTGCATAGCAACATAGCAGCTCTAAAACATTTCTAGTTTTCTACTTTCCAGGCAACACTTATCCTCATTGACACCACCAGGGGGCACAAATGGAAGTGAACAACAACAACGACAAAAAAATGATGCCATCTGCATCCTCCCACTAACCTGGTGCAGAAATAGTTTATGAGAAGGAAAGGAAGGAGAAGTAACATGTAATAAAATCTTGACCATGTCCTAGGCTCTCCCTGTAAGTTCTCATTTCACTGACACTAACTCTTTGCAAGAGAGTTTTTTACCTCCATTTTACAGAAGTCAAACCTGAGATGTAGAGAGGCTACCTGACCCATTCCAGATCACAAAGATGACCAAGAAGGATTTGTGAACAATTTGGGTACAGGTCTGGCTGCCTCAGAAGCCTGTGCTGTCTCACTTTACCACATGCCAGCACTCACAGGAGACCCACAGCCTACCACAGTGCCCTACTCTGGAAGTCTTGCTTGATCCAAAAACTTCAGTAACTAAAGTCTCTTTGCTAAGATGAAACGCCAGCCTTCTGTGAAATGGGCACCACTGGAGAGAACCTTGGTTGACCCTCAGAATCCTGAAGGCTCTTACAGTAATTCTAAAACCGTTCTGAGCAGTGATGGAGGAGCTCCACAAGACAGGATCAATCTCAGTGTCTAGTCTATTCATTTCATAGGCATCTCCTTCCTTCACTGACTGAATGAAGATAATGGATGGGCCTTACTTCTCTGCGTTGTGATGATGAAATGAGACAATGTGACTGGGAGTGGAGTACAAAACATTAAGTGTTGTACGCAGGCAGAATATTACTGATCTATCCCTGGGGCCTGGGAGGCTGCTTCGTCTGATGAGCCCCTACTAACCACAACCATTAAGCAGTGTGGCCGGGAGTTAGGGCCACAACCTGCGGGGTCACCCAGACCTGGGTTGAGGTCCTAGCTTGGCCATCTGCCGTGCAACTTTTGGCAAGATATTTGACTTCCCTAAATCTCAGTTTCTTCCATCTGTAAAAAGGAGATGATAAAAATGGCGCTGGCCTTATTAACAGGTTGTTGGGAAGAGCAAATGTATAACAATATACAAAGGACTACGCCTGATGCCTTCGCCCTCAGTCCCTAACAGCATCTACGTTTGCAAAGGATCTGAAGGGTTGGCCGCCCCTGGCAAAGCCACCCCGGGCCTGAGGCTCACCTGAGGGCATTCAGCAGCCCCTCCACACTGTCCGGGGCCTGTTCCTTCAAAACCTTTATGCAGCCTTTCATCTGGGAGGAGAAAACACAGCATTTGTTAATATCCTAGTAATTCTGTCCATAATAACTTCTGTCCATTATAGTATTTGTCCATAATAATATCACATTATTCCTGCTCACAGAAATGACCAACAGACCTTCTTCTTCCCCCGCCCCCAGGCCAGTGAGTTGCTCCTCTGGGCTTCCAGAAGGTTCCACATCAGGTTATACTGTCCTGCTTTTGAGCATTTTACATATCTGGTGTGTGGGGACACAGACTTGAGCCTTTGATCTTCTTGTCTTTTACTCGAGAGCTAAGGGCAAGGCTTTTCCTCCAGGAGGTGCTCAGTGGAGGCTGAATGGATTATAAATTGGCCACTTTATCCCATCCCTCTGCCCTGAATGCTTTTCCTCCTTCAGCTGTTTGTTAAGACTCAACTGAAGATCACTAACACCAGGAAGCCTCTTCTGACTGCATTACTTTCATCAGGTAGAAGTCACCGCCACCTTCTTGCATTCACAATAGTGCACTGGCAGTTAGAGAACCTCAGAGATGTTAGTGCCCACACGGACTGTCTCCCTCACTACACAGGAGAGGACTGGGAAAGACCAGTGGTTGGGAATGTGAACCACATGGAGGCAGAATGACTGGGTTTCATCCACGCTTACTTGTTTAATATCTTCATGAACTGAGGCAAGTTTCTTGGCTTTTGTGCCTTTGGAATATAATTTATTCAAAATTTGGGGGATCATGAAAATCAAATTTAGATCATAGTATATTATGCATATCCTGGAAAATTTTTTTGACAAAGGAAGAATCTTGCTGCAAAGAATACGGTCACTCATTTTAAACTCAAATGTTCATGCACTATATCAGATTTGGGTACATTCAAGACCTCTTTTATAATGGTCACTTATCCACATTTTCTGGGGGTATACCTCTGGTATGCTGTTTTTCTTTTTTTTTTTAAATTTTGGATTTATTTTAGAAACAGAGAGGAAGAAAGAGAGAGAGAAACATCGATTTGTTGTTCCACTTATTTGTGCACTCATTGATTGATTTTTTTAAGGTGCCCCTACTGGGGATTGAACCTGCAACCTTGTTGTATTGAGACAATGCTATAACTGACTGAGCTACCCAGCCAGTGTGAACGTTTTTCTTAAAAGCCTGATAAACCCTGATAGTTGGATGGAGGTAGCCAAAGCACAGGGTTGAGAATCATTTGGGGGTCATGTATAGGCTTATTGAGAAAGAATGTCATGGTCAATCAGAGATGCCAATCATGGGTACAGGATGGGGCCAAACTGCACGATGTAGAGATTTGTTCCCTCTCCCAACAGAGCTCGTAGTCCAGTGGGAGGAGAGAGACAAATAGCTCATTATCCTATGTGTTCTTGTAAAAGATGCTAAAGGAGCAATGGGACCATAGATTAGAACAGGGTTGTAAGAGCAGTGGGTACCCTTTGGGAATGTCTAGTCCTATTTCAGGCTGATTAAAGTCATGGGTATGAATAACAAGATGTAGTTAGGAATATAGTCAGGGCTAGATTCAATGTGGGGTTCATTGTATGTTAGGAAGTTAGGGACATTTTCCTGTAGAAAACACCCTTGGTAGGTGTTAAATAATCTAGCAATGTGACTAATACGGAAATGGAGCAGAGGAAGTAAAACTGGAGATAGGAGGAGCAGTCGGAGCTCCTAAGGGTATGGTCACCTGTCTATGGTGAGGTTACTACAGATAATTTTAATTTTGTGTATTTTGATCTCCTGTATTTTCCAGAAGTTTTCATACTAAATATTTTCCTGGTAAACAAATAATTACAGAAAAATAAGTAAGACTCCCTGAAGAGTCATGTCTAGCTGTGCTAGGAAGCTGGAACTTCAAAATGAGTAATCCAGGTTGCATTTTTTATTGATAGATTTTCTCACATTCTGCACACTCATGGCCCCTCTGGGCAGGTAGACTTTCTGTGTGTCCAGGACTAAAGTATCAAAGACACTGTTCTGTGCAGATGAAGGAGCATAGAGGGTGCCAGACTGTTAGTACAAAGAGGTCCTATTCTGTACTTAAAAGGCTTTAAGTCAACAAATGGAATACACTACTGGGGGGTGCTTGAAGCAAGTGCTGGGCTGAGAGGATGCATGTTTTTATCCCATTATCAACAGGAAATCACTTTCACACCAACATCAACTGTTTTCCCATTATATTCATTCATTCATTCATTCATTCATTCATTCACTCAGCAAAAGCTCTATGGAGCATCTATTGAGTCCCATGGTGCCATGGACACTCCTAAGCAGTAAATCAGACATTAGGTGTATAGAGAATGGTCTCTGCTCTAGTCAAAGAACTGCATCTGTAAGGGAGTCAGAAAACCCAAAATGGTAAATGCTCTCGGGGTTGGAAAAGAAGGAAGGCCCTGATCCACGCAGGGGCAGGATGAGGGATATTTGAGGAGGGTCTTAAAGGAATCCACCCACAAAAGAGGAAGGGTGCTCAGGGCAGGGAAAAGAGCTCAGGCACCTGCCAATGACAAGAAAAGGCATGGGAATCTGGTGGAGGAACTGGAAAGTGGGGTGGAGAGGAAGTTGGAATGTTGTTTGTGATTTGAGGAGGGTGTCTTGTGATTCAGTATCTCCTAATGCTTTTCATATAATGTATTAAAAATATATTTTGCCCTAGCTAGTTTGGCTCAGTAGGTAGAGTGTTGGCCTGCGTACTGGACTGAAGGATCCTGGGTTCGATTCCGGTCAAGGGCACATGCCCAGGTTGCGGGCTCGATCCCCAGTAGGGGACATGCAGGAGGCAGCCAATCAATGATTTTCTCTCATCATTGATGTTTCTCTCTCTCCCTCTTCCTTCCTCTCTGAAATCAATAAAAATATATTTTAAAAAATAAAATAAAAATATATTTGTATAACACGGATAAACTGAAGAGGCACTTGCAGCTAAGTGACTGTTCATCTGCTCGGCTCCTCTACTGGCTGAGCGGATCAGCTCCTCCACGTTCCTGCTACACTTCTGAGGTTGGATGCTCTGTTGTAAGCACATAAAAAAGATTGGACTTCTTCCTATGAGGAGAGGTACCAGGACGGGGCTTGTGTCTTGGAGAGGTCATTCTTAGTGGGGGGTGGAGGAGGGAGAAGCAAGGTCTCCTTGGCAGCATTTATGTACTCTTATTGGAAAGCGCATTTTATAATATTCTTACATCGATCTTGGACGTCTTGCAGAAAGCTCCCACGGGGTGGACGTGGTCGTAGAGGATGATGACCCCCACCATCACCCTCATGCAGAACATCAGCGTTTCTTCGCTCGTAAACCTGCTCCTGTACTCCCTGGGAGAGAGGGGAAACGGCAGGGGGGTTACTTCCTGGCCCGAGCATGCTCATGTCTGGCTCCACACTGGCTGCCTGAGACTCCTCCAATCCTCTCCTGAGAACAATCCCAGACCTGCCCCAACCAGGTTAATATGCTCTTCTAGAAACCCATGATGATAATTCTCCTCGAATCTATCCCACCAGCAATTCAGTGCAAAAATAAGGTAAATTAGAGGGCAGTCAATTCTCTTCTCTTCTGCCCTTCAGTGAGCCAGCTCAGCGCGTACATCACTCCCCACCCATCAATCCTGAATATTTTATAGCAGTTCCCTCTGGCTGTCCAAGATTATAGAGAATGATGGCTTCATTATAGAGAAAAAGAATCAAGCTCATTTCCACAGAGCAGCTATCATGTCTCCAGTCAGGGTAACTTCCTTTGTTAAGATACAGGCTGCAGATTGAATTAAATTGTGGAAGATACCTTAAAGAAACGATGTGCCAGTCATTGGGCTGTGAGTATTCGTGAAGTCTGAATTTTGTGCACTTACCCTGATAGGGTCTCTGATGATTCAGATAATTCTGGCCAATACCAGAGGCTTTCTTAATATCTATTTCCTTATGAATTGGCCCTTCAATGAAGATGATTACTGTTTTTGTCTTGGAATAACTATTAACTTTGGTATAAGCAAAATATTTGAAATTAATACCATCTCCCACATGAACAGAACATCAAATTTTATAAGGCAATTTGATCCCTTTGGGAATCCCAAACACTCTGCAACTTAGATGGGGTTCTGAGGATGGTATCATATGAGGAAACCAGGGCCCAGGCAATTCAGACCACTTGTCTCTGGGCCCAGAGGGGGCTACAGATATAAGTGGAACCCTGACTTTTGAGTGTGGATTTCCTCATTCCATGCTGCCTCATCCTCAACAAACTCAACCATTTTTAAAAAATCTAGCAACTAGCTTAAATACAAAGAGACTGCTGAGAGAGAGAGAGAGAGAGAGAGAGAGAGAGAGAGAGAGATCTTCATTATCACTCCTGTAACAGTCTTATCACTTCTCCTGGTTCTAAATCTTCTCTCAAATCTTTTCTCCAACATATTACTAATGATATCCAGTTATTTCACCGAAGTCTCCACTTGATTCTTACACAATTTCTACAGCATCTTTTTTTGTTTTCTTGTTAATCCTCACCCGAGGATATTTTCCCATTGATCTTTTAGAGAGAGTGCAAGAGAGAGGGAAAGACAGAGAGAAACATCGATGTGAGAGAAACACATCGATTGGTTGCCTCCTGCATGTGCCCCAACCAGGGCCCGGGCTGGGGAGGAGCCTGCAACCAAGGTACGTGCCCTTGACAGGAATCGAATCCGGGACCCTTTGGTCTGCAGGCCAATGCTCTATCCACTGAGCCAAACCGGCTAGGGCTCTACAGCATCTTTGACTCGAGTGTTGGCTCTGCCATCTAACAAGTTTTGCAATCCTTGGAGAGTCAGCGCATCTTCTCCAGCTCTGACGTGGGATGAAGACACCTACCACCGAGAGGTCTTATGAGATCAATTCAGGTAACGGATGTGTAACTGCTAATGTGCTGACCCAGTGATTAGGAGTCATCGTCATCATTACACCAACAGGCTCTGCCTGGTGAGCTCTCGGCCACCAGTACAGCTCTGACGTCACTTACGGCGTTTCCAGCATGACTTTACAGACGCTCGTCATGGTGCTGAGGCAGTCTGTGGTGTTCTCTATCGGCAGGGTTTTGTTCTAAGTGGGAGACACAAATGGATGTTAGCTCTGCCAGCAGCCTTTACCCGCAATTAAGGAAAAAGCACCTCATTGCTCAAGTCCACTTACTTCGGAGACAAAGTGCATGGTGGCATTGCTAAGGGTTTTCAGCATGGGCGTGGCTTCCGCATAGAAGAGGGACATTCGGTTGGCCATCTCGTTATTGACTTCATTCTCAATGTCTAGCTGATAAAAACAAGAAGAGAAGATGCGATTGATAAAGAGATGGTGAAATTCCCCAAACAATGTGAAATGTAGACAAGACTATCTTCTCCCTGAGACCTGCCTGATGCAGACACCGAAAGAGACGTGGAGTGCGGGTGTCTAGACCCAAGGGACCCAGGCACTCACGTGCATGTTGTTGATGCGGTTGCGGCTTATTGTCCTCCTGTAGTAGCTGAAGTCATTCTGAATAGCTGGGTTCCTCATCTGAAATTCAGAAGGGAGGGGAGAAGGGGATCTCTCAGCATCAGGTGGGGAATTCACATGGGGAGCCCAGCACTAGCTCTGCAAACACACCAAGACTTCTCTTTGCTACACGAGTCCATGCAACTTCTGGTTAAAAATAAGCACTCGGAGCTTCATTATTTAAAAATATGCCCTGTTTTCACAGGGAAGTATATTTGTTCTCAATGAGGAGCAGACACTCGAAAATGTCTCTTATTGCATGAACAGAATTTGAATTTTCACATGAAAACCACCATCTTAAGTCACTTTACCACAATGAGTGCAAATTCTCACCACATTCTATGTCTCCCTAGGGAAGGAGCTACGGCATCTCACTCATGTCTCTCTACTCCCCACCCCACAGCATGCAGAGGATCTGTACGCAGCAGGAACTCAGTACAAGCTTAGTAAATCATCAAACATGTGTGGCCTAACCTTCAGCTCATCGAATCGAAGGGTAAAATGCAGGATTTCCGCAAATTCCTTTGCCAGGGCCTGCTCTCGCTCCAGGTGCTGGGTTGGCGTGTAGGGTGGACAGGTCAGAGATTCTAATAAACTCTGAAGAGCTTTTTCTGAAAGTCAAAGGGATAAATACATATTTGAGATGGCCTACAGAAATCCTTCAAAGGCACCATCTGCAGCCCCCGCTGACATTCTGAGATAACCTGCCGGGGTGGGTCTTTCTTCTCCCCGTGCTTCCATGTCACTGTGGTAATATGATATGTGTGGACCAGGAAGAGAAGGAGCCTTCACACTGAGCAGGCTGCCTCCACTGCAGAAGTCCCCTCCCAACCCCACGCCATGGCCCCACGGTTATGTAAATGTCTCTCCAAGCTCAGCTGCACCTTCCCCTGTTCAGTAGTGCCAACTGCCAACAGTGTTGGGAAACCATAAACACATGTTTTTGGATCATGTGCATGAGACAGCCATTCATGATCCAGGATGAGACAGGGTGGCCCAGAACACATGGGTCAGATAACCTGCTTTGCAGGGAGAGATCTCGGGTTCCATGCCCGCTCTTCTCTGCATCTACAGTCTCACCTATTCCCAGCAATATTTCTTCTACTAACTCATTGCCATATCTACCTCCATTATTGCCCGTCACATTACTCCCACTTGTCTGTTTTTAAACGTTCCCTCCAGTTTTCAAGTCAATGTATTTCTAATAGCACTGAGTCATTTAATCAACCTTTTACATTAGGGTTTGGGAAACTATGGTCCCCAGGTCAAATCTGGCCCTTTTACTTAAAAGTCTTATAAAAAATTTAAATAAAGTTTTATTTAAAAACAGGCACACTCATTCCTCTCTATATTGGCTATGGGGGGTTTTATGTGACAATGGCAGAGTTGATTAGTTGCAAGACCGGATGGCCTACACGCCTAAAATACGTATTATCTGGCTCTTTACAGAAATGTCGCCGGGACCTGCTCTACAGTCCTTTGATGTCCTTCAGCATCTTTACAAGGGTGTTTCCAGCCCTTTCCACCCCTGGGACTGCACTGTCTTCTGAGGCAGCTAGTTCTACCTTGACCTCCCCCCGCAGGGGGGTCTTTTTCCTTCTGTTGAACTGAAATGTGTTCCATAGGTTTCAGTTCATGGGTCGAGATATAGACTTTGAGGAAACAGAGAAACTGATCCTGCATCAACCTGAGAGTCTTCAAAAGCTCTTTCTTCCTGAAAAACTGGTTCGGTTCATTCAACTACTCCTTCTGGGTCTTAGCTCCAAGTTCTCTCAACATCATCGCTATTATTCTCCTCAATTTCACTGTTTTCTTTTTAAACTGTAGCATTTATTTGTGGAAAAAATAGAGTAGAATATGGCTATGCCCCTTCTTCATTCTAGACCAGTGGTTCTCAACCTTCTGGCCCTTTAAATACAGTTCCTCATGTTGTGACCCAACCATAAAATTATTTTCGTTGCTACTTCATAACTGTAATGTTGCTACTGTTATGAATCATAATGTAAATATCTGATATGCAGGATGGTCTTAGGCGATCCCTGTGAAAGGGTCGTTCGACCGCCAAAGGGGTCGCGACCCACAGGTCGAGAACCGCTGTAGACATATTGGCTAAGGAAACCTCAGCTTTCCTGTTGAGGGGAGTGGTGACATCAGATCGATGTTCACACTGAGCCTGTTGTCAAGCAGGCCTGACTTTGCTCTTGCTCCTGCAAAGCCATCTTATACCTGGCAGGGTTCTATTTGTCTTGTTGTTGTCGTTTTTCTAAAACAACAACAAAATTTTCTATATTAAATTTTTCTGTGTTAAATTTATCACATGACTCCTGCCAACCAAATTCTTCTTGGGTTAGCAGGTAAAATGAATCTCCCAACTTCTCTGTCACCCAGAAATGTGATCAGACCACAGTGAAACTGTTTCGAGTCACACTTAGCTGAGAATAAGACCAGAGGAACCACCGATAGAGACACTCTAAACGTGCCAAGATATTCAGGAGAAGAAACATTGAGGTGAATTGAAAGAAATGAAAAGGACAGGTGGTGTTGTCCAAGAATGGCCTCTGAGAAGACACAGCGAGTGGATGTGGGCCATTTCCTCAGGCACTGAGCTCTTCCTGTGACTTTCACCAACACCATAATACAACTTCACACGTGGGACGTGAAACTAGAAACACGAACTCACCTAGCCTTATGGAAAACTCATAAAATCTCTTTAGCCTCACGACCAGAGGACACACTGCATTCCACGCTTTTTCTTGAAGCTGGATGTCATTGGGATTTTGAATGGCCTATAAAAAAATCACAGAATTGTTTAGAAATAAAATAAGCTCCACATCAAAATGACTTAAAATTCAGAGAGAATCTACATTTTCAAAAACCCAATTTCCGATACACTTTACTAATGTGCACTTGTTAAATGGACGTCAGTTCATCAGACTGTCCTCCAGGATGCTCCGTTAGAATGGAGGTTTTAGCACTGATCATAGTGCAAATGACTCTGCAATTAGATCCTGGGTCAATGTACTAGTTTCTCTTATCTTACATGTAAAAAATGCACATCTAACAGGAAGCAATGCAACCCTCCTCCATCGCCATTTATTCTTCTAAGTAGAGCTGGTGCTCATTGTGAAATGAAAATTCTGTAGATCTTTTCCTTTCTCTGTAATACGTGCTGCATTCCTGCCAGTCGGTGATGTTACCTAAATTACCTACATTCGTGGTGACCTCCTAAGTAGAAAAACAACTTTTTAACAGGCTGTTACTTTCTTAGAAATGCTGTTTTGTCTGGGCTTCAGCAGCTGGAGGATTGTGACGTCAGCGTTATTTATTTTCCAGAAGGATTTTGGCAGCGGCAGTAGGGGAGTGTATGTCTGTGTGCACATGTGTGTGTGCACATGAATGTGTGTATGTGGGGGTACTGCCACAAAACTAATTCTTTCAAATAAGAAGGGTGAGAAGTTCCTTGCCTTTTAGGCATTTGGAAGTCTCAAAAGCCACACTGACAACTTCCTTTTTTGCTTTGGTGGCTGTCTTGTTTTTCATGTATTTATTTATTTTTAAATCTCCTAAGTCAGTTCCAAATGACAGACTTGCAGGCTACGTGAAGTGAGATAGTTCATGACTGCTGTTTGTGGTGCCGGTGGAACCCGCCCAAATTATTATAAAATGTTGGAAAGTTCACAGAAACCCAGGTCTCATGACTCATATTTCAACTGCTGTTCACAGACTTTCTAGGTACGTTGCCCTCAAATGAAGTAATAGGCTGACAAATCATTGTGTGCATGTGAGTCTTGCAATATCACATGTGTGTCTGGGAAGAGAATGGCTAATATTTGACATGGCCTACAGCAATGTGTGTTCAGATTAATGTCCTACAATACAAGGGGTTATTCATACGCTTTTTTTGAAAGGACACATTACTACACTAGGAAATACTAGGCCTATTACTTAATCCTGCTGTGTGTGTGTGTGTGTGTGTGTGTGTGTGTGTGTGTGTGTGTGTGTGTGTGTGTGTGTGTTTCCCTTCTCCCGCAGGGTGCTGTCAGCTGGGTATTGTCATTGGCATACGTCTCGGATCTTGTACGCCTGCAGGTCGGCGAGGATGCTCTCGGAATCCTGGAGGACGGCGCTGATCTGGTTCCATATCTCCCGCTCGCCTTCCGTGGGCTGGGCATCTGCGCAGAAGGGACACAAACAGACACGGAGCACTTGCGTTTACAAACAACCGGGGAAGAGTCAGCACGCAGCTTGACTTGTCAGACAATCTTATTTTATTCCTGCAGGTTTTTACTCTTTAGTATTTACTCTTTAGTATAATAAGCTACAGGGAAGGGACCGTTAACTCGTGGCCACTACTCGATGCAAAATACTCATCCATCTTTCTGTACACAGGAGACCAAGTATGTGGGAATCATTATGGGTTCTCCTTTACCTGTGGAACACACTTTCTGCACACCTACTATGTGTCAAGAGGTGCACCAGGTGCTGGAAGGTATAAACATCGTCTTTTTGAGACCACGTTTAATAGGAGAAGCTATTGAATATTTTCCGTTATGATTAAAAATCGGTGAATCTGAGTATAGATTGGAAAAAACCATTCCCTTCATATTTCCACATAAAAATAAGCTTAAGAGATTAGATAATTTTCCTTCAGAGCCAAGACAGAGGTATCTTTCCAGAGCACACAAACAAGTGGCATATTCGACCTTACATGAGGGAAGAACATATTCCAACAGCCCCGGAAGCAACCCCTTTGCTCCTCAGTGAATGTTCACTTGATTGCATCCCTGCAGCCAATGTAGGCTCTTGTCCCAGGAGTAGTTATGCGGGCTGGTGGGTGAGTGCTGAGTGGGTAAAGGCTGGGCTCTACTCATCTCACAATTCCTATGAAATGGAGGATTTGCCTGGGCTGGCAAGAACATTCATCTCCATCCAAAGCAAAAGCACTGATAAGGAAGGAAAGAGATAGATGTCATTTCCCAAAGCTCTGCTTCCAAAAATCAAGTCCCAAGGCACTACATTCTTTCAGAAGACCCTGCCAATGAGTGGGTGGGACAGTTATGTCTGGTCTCACACTCCCCAGTGAACTGTAATAATTCACAGTGTTCCTCGGGGTATAAAACAGAAGCCACAAGACAGGTGACATCTAAGCGAGGCCCTCACCACGCTGACCGGGCCTTCGGAGAGGCTGAGTATGGGAGCAGGGGTTAGGCCAGATGTGCTGGACCTGCACTCACCCAAGGCGAGACCCTTGAGCAGTGATGCCCATGGGGATTTTTAGACCACTTTCTTACTAGGCCCTGCTCAGACCCCAAAAATGGGAAGCGTTACTTGGGAAATGAAGGGTGTCATTCTCTTTAGAAAAACAAAACCAAAGCCCTATAGATTTTCCAGAAACGTGGCAGACTATACCTCTAGGAATGAGATGGATTTCAGCCAGGGAATGAGGAAGGACTCACGTACATGCACAGGAGGGTTCAGAGAAGAGATAGTGTGGGCGGGGAGGAGTGAAACCCACCTCATGCAAAGGATGAGGCCAGGGCAGAAAAGGGAGGTGAGGGAGTGTACCCATGGGGAGCTTGGAACAGGCGGGCAGCTGGGGGAGGAAAGAGGCTGCTGGGTTGGAGTACAGGATCCGGGCTGGGAAACAGAAGGGGAAAGAAACGTGTTGCTCCGTTACCTTTTGCTACCTTTTCGCTTTCCCACCAGCACTTGGTAAGTTTTCTCCGACACCATGTTATCCGCAATATTAACAAATTTATAGTTTGTCTTTTCCTGCTTTTCCAAACTTCTCTCAAAGCCACAGGGGTGTCTTAAAACAGAAACCTAAACACCCACAAGCTAGCAAGCCCCACAATGAAGAAAGCACATCAGTGGAACACAATTCCAGGGTAAGAAGTAAGTCAGGGAAGTGAACACGGGACAAAAATGCAAAGCAAAGACCCTAGAAAACAAATAAAAATCAAACACTCCAACCCTTTCCCCTTCGGCTGAATGTATCGAAAAAAATCATAAGCTAAACAAAGACCATTTTCTCAAAGAGATGTATCTTTGAAGAGGAGGAAAAGAAAAATCAAGCCTGTGACCAGGACTCCGAGGGGTAAGTGTGTTTGCATGTAATTATAAAGTAGGTGTAGAGAAGGCACTTGGAAACCAGGAGTCGCAGCCTCCTAATCTTGGCTGTCACAGGGCTCTGTCCCTGCAAGCCACCACTGGATAAGCTTTCAACAAAACAGGAGGAAAGCTCAGTGGGCTGGAAGAGGGGTGCTGGGCAAACAAAACCCCCAAACCCATCCTTTTGACGATGACTGAAACACAAAAGGAAAAAGATTTCGAAGTCAGTTTTTAAAAATAGAGGCCTTACGTACTCCCAGAATAAGACGGTTTCTGATCGAGTGGCCTAAAGGAGTGACCCTTTCTGATACAAATCAACCCCGACAGTTATGTGACCACGCAGAGCGGGACAAGCAGCACGGGGTGGTCACCTCTCTCCCAGCGGCAGAGCGGGGGTGGGGGGGGGCTGTGTCGAGAACCTTCCACTACAAGGTCACTCACCCCTGGAAACTGGAGTGACCTGGGAAACGGGACCCCTGTCCCAGCCTCCGTCTCTGGGAGAATGTTTCTCTTGGCAGGTATCCTAGTGTCTTGTTTGAAATGTTTCATGTGGCCCCGGTTAGCAGGGGTGGGATGGGAGAAATCCAATCCGCCATTCCTTCTTTCATCCCCACTTAGTAATGAGTTGACTCATTTTCTTCCATCATTTGTTGGTGTTATTATTGCATGCCCTAATTTTTCCTCCTTCCCCTGTGATGGAACTGAGTCACCTCTTCTTCCAGTTACTAATTAGGTCCTTGATGCCAGCAGCATGGTCCCTGTCCTCTGGGTGTATAAGAGTCTCAGGAGACCCAGATCCAAGGGACGTTGGACTTCAAGGTGAAGACTGCTCACTAGGGGGAGCTCCAATCTGCCTGTCTGTTCCTCCTTCCAAATGGGAAAAGGACTGTGCAACCCAAAGTGACATTTGGCAGTGGCCCATGTCCCTGTGGAGATCCATAACTCATCCTATCTTTATCATCCAGCTAAATGATCAGTCGGGACTCTAACAAGAATCTGATCCATTAGACTGTAGGACTCTGGCCTTGTTTCATATAATATCATACCTCCAGGGCCTGGCACATAGTAGATGCTGCAGAAAAAATTGCTGAACAGTTGACTGAATGATCCTATATAATAAAAGGGTAATATGCAAATTGACCAAACAGTGGAATGACCAGTTGCTATGATGCACACTGACCACCAAGGGGCAGACGATCAATGCAGGAGCTGTCCCCTAGTGGTCAGTACACTCCCACAGGGGGAGCGCTGCTCAACCAGAAGCTGGGCTCATGGCTGGCGAGCACAGCAGCGGTGGTGGGAGTCTCTCCCGCCTCCATGGTAGCGATAAGGATGTCCAACTGCTGGCTTAGGCCCACTCCCTGCTAAGCCAGCAGTCGGACATCCCCTGAAGGCTCCCAGACTGCGAGAGGGTGCAGGCTGGGCTGAGAGACCCCCATGAGTGCACGAATTTTGTGCACCGGGCCCCTAGGTTAAATATATTTCTCACACTATGTTTCATGATGCTTTTCCTGCGTGTCTTTGAATTCTGCAATCTTTGGAGATGAAGTTGATTATTCTTGTCCTCAGTGCCCCCATATGCCCTACTGACTGGGGATTCTCAATAAACATGCCAAGAATCAATGAATAAATGAAGGAATTGACCAGGTGGCAGAAAATGTAAGTATTGGGAAGCAGTGAAAAAAAAATCCTGTTCCTTCTAGATGGTCCCTTCTGTCTCTTCTCTTCAAATGGCTGTTATATCTCTCACTATTACCATTAAGATATATGTATTTTCTTACAATCGAATTAGCTATTCACACTTGCATTAAGATGTGTGTTTTTAAATAATCCATCACTTATTTATGGCCTCAATGTCTCCTCAGTGTAGTTAACACACTAACTGGATATTTGTTGAGTGAAAAACTGCACTTATGTTTACTCTCCCAATCTTAAAAGACTTGTATCATTTTGCTTTCTGGAACATTCCCTGAGAGGCTTTGGGGTTGATACTCTGGCATGCTCCACATTGGTAACCTTGTTTTTAAAAATATATGTGTCTGCAGATGTCAAGGAGAGAGACCTCTTGAAAAAGACCTTGACAAATTAGTGATTGAAAGGTTATTATATTTAACCTATCAGCCACCTCCCAAGGTGTGTGCTGAGTCAACACCAACTCTCAATTACAGGCTTTGTTTGTCTATTTTAACACAAAGATTGACCTTTCGTCAATGGTACACACATGCACACAATGCCCGCCAATTATATTACTGATGGAAATGGATCTTTTTTTTCCCCTGCTGCAGCCAGTGAATTCTTTCGTGACGTTTCTTCTAAGAATCACATTCTACACTTCTAATCATCACCAATGATTTCATTGAAATCGAAGAGAATGGTTCCATGAAGCTGGGCTGCTCCTGTCGACCAATGATGCTGTTACACGTCGCTGTGATTTACACAGGCAATTTCAGAAACCAATACCTCGGGGCGCCCTGGAACCAGCCCTTCCAGGCCATTCCCCAGGCGATGATTTAAACCCCTGTCCTGTACTTGCCATTGTGGAAAGTGTGAAAATGTATCATGTGCTCTGTGACCTTGAATATAAACATTCATCGTCAAGAACTCACTGAATGCCGAGTGCCTTGCATCTTTAATGGGGAAAACTCCCTCATCAGTTGAGAGAGGTAAACAGGTATTCATTTTGTTTGCAGGGGATCTATTTATCCTTCTTTGGCGCCATGTGCTAGTGGGGGTGGATGGTAACTGTCAGCATTGTGGTGTCACGGGGTCAGGCGGAGGACTAGGACATTTACTGAAAGCGGGATGCTTGGCATTCCTCGGTGGGGATAGAGAGGAAGGTGGCTGTGTGCTTTGTTTGTCAGGAATGAACATCTTAGGTGAACAAGCCCCAGGGAGGGATGGCAGGGCTCAACCCAGAGCAGGCTGTCACTTCAAAGGGTTCTTATCTTTGTAAATCAGCCAAGGATCCCGCTGCCTTCACAAGCATCAGGGGCACACACACATACCTTCTCCGAACAACCGATGTAGGACTGTATAGCAAAGCTGACAGACAATCAAACAA